ATAAAATACGAGTAAACAATAGTTTAAATGAGTCAATAACTAAAGTATAAATAGAGGTAAAAAGCGAAATCAAGTGTATTTTTTTTTTACTTTTCTTGAATCAAGGAACGTATAACGAATACAAATAGTGTAAGAAAAGGGCAATTACCACACTTAAATACATTACACATTACATAGCATTAAAAAACTTGATTAGATTTGTTTTTGTTTTCAGCAAGATACTTTATTTAATTTTTTGTAATACGAAGTTCCCTTTTTTTTAACCGGTTCGTTCTAAAAATCATCTTGTCAGATTTCATATACCAAAATGGAAAGTGAGGATAATTCGAAAACTTCTGAACAGCAGTCTTCAAATAATAATAATGTGTTAAAGTAAGTATAACCTTTAATTGCTTTGACTCGATTAGAGGTTTTATTTTTCTTATATTGAAATCGATTTTAATCAATTTTAACATAAGAAAAATAATACTGGTTTCAAACTCTAGACTCAATTATTGCATTATTATTGCTTCAATTAATCAAAACTAAAGTGATCAGGATTTGGCTATAACTATGAATGTGATAATTGAATCAATGTTAATAAAGTAGGTTAATCTTTTTGTTTTGCTTTGACCCGATATTATTGGTTTTTTAACTAACTAAAATTTAATTAAAGTGATCAAGGATTCGTTGAAACCATAGATACACAAATAGTTAAACCAATGTCAGTAAAGTAGGTTAACCTTTTTGTTTTTTGCCTTGACACAGTATTATTGGTTTCTTTAATTAATCAGAATTTAATTAAAGTGATCAGGGCTTCATTGATACAGTGGATGTGCCAGTAGTTGGAAAACATTTGGCAGTTGGGATGAATTGGACCGTTTCATATCTTTCTACGCGAGGTCACAGAATTTCATTAGTGTTATACACGGATCAGAATACGATAATAGTGTTTGTCGAAATCGACGTTATGCTTGCAAACATCAGGGTTCTAATAATATGAAGAACAAGAGTAACATAGTCGAAAATCAATGGCAAACAAGAAGTAAATGTAGTGGGTGCTGTTGGCAGATTCGTGCTAGTTGTCCCAAGACAACTGGCATACTAAAAATCAATTCTCTTTGTTTAGATCATAATCACCAAATAAAGGATGAAACTAATAGGTTTGCCACTAAATATAGAACTTTTTCTGAGGATATGCTAAATGATATTAAATTTTGGACTGAAACGGGTAATATCAATATGAGAACTCAGTACCAAATGTTAATAAAACGGTATTCTGATGCTTTTTTCTTGCCTCAGGATCTCTCAAATGCTATTCAATCTTTCAAATAGCAAATCATATCGAATGTGAGGCAGCTGTTTTACTTGGTATATAGCACAACTTATTAATTTTCAAGACTTGGAATTTAATTTAATTGAACAATTTGATCAGATCGAACAATCTAGTTTGACTGGACAATCCAACTTGACAGAACAATCAGATACTATTGAGACTTGTAATGCCTTTACTGAAGATATAGTGGATACACCTGCTGTATTAGTTAAAGAATTAGTACCATTTACAGAAATCGAATCTATTCTTGAAGTTTGGAAAGTTACATAGCATAGACGCAAAGCAAAAAATTATGTTATATTGTTTAAAAATAATACACATCTATGCACATGTCTTAATTTAATTCAATGTAGTTTTGTCTGCAGACACTTTTTTCAGATTATAAAAGTGTCTAATTATGCAGCATTTCACATTATGCTTATATCAAGAAGATGGTATGTTAACGAAAAACAAATTGAGCCAGAATCAGAAACGCGGTTACATCCTTTTATTATTAGTTTGAGTGATAATATGAACTTGGAAGCTTCTGTTGATGTTGAACAAGCGTTTCTTAATTCATTATTTCGTTTACCAAATATCTCTTTTAATGAAGCTCATATTAAAATTAGTTATTGTAAGGCATATACAACTATGAATAGATTGTCAAAAAAAGCCATTCAAGCAGGATTAGATGCTGGTTCTAATGCAATTAAAGAGCTCAAAGACTTTATGAGTGGCTTTATCATTAAATATACGCCCAAAAAGAAAGATAAAAAGAAGAAAAGGCAAGACAATGAGAGTGATGACACTTCAAACTATAGTTTTAGCGATGAAGATTTTATTTTAGTTGAAAATCTGATAGTTCATTCAAAAAGGGGTGCTCCAAGGAAAAAGCGTTTGAAAGGTTCACATGAATTAGAGAGCAAAAGCAATTCTAGTGCTAAGCATTTGCAAATACAGAAGACTAGAAAACTATCACAATGTTAGCAATATCAAAATATTGGGCATAACAAAGCTGGTTGTGAGGCATGGCATAAACGACAAGGCATTATATATTCATATTAACTAACGAACTTATGCCTCTGTCACTTGCAATAATTATTAATGAAACTCTGGAAATTCTGAACTACTGTATAACCGCTGAATTTATTATAACACAAATTTATTAGGATTTAATTAGATTTGCGTAGTAGAGTAAAACACAATATATATATTTATATGTTCATATACTAAGATAGTATGTATGG